ATTTCTACCCCGGAGCGAAGGACACTCACAGGTAAGGTTTGGGCTGGGGACCTGTCCATGAAAGATGACTTATTTGCCCTGGGTTAGGCAGGACGTACTGGGGACTGGACAGGGGTGAGAGACAAAGGCTGCAAGCGCCCTCCTGGGCACCAGCCCCAGGGAGCAGAGTGCAGAACACCACAGTCTGCATTTTAGGTAAGGAATAATCCATCCTCCCTTTGTTGGTACAGAGAGACCTGCTTTGCAAAGGTAATAGACTGGAGGCAGTGTGGGTTCTTGCAAATGTTATTTTTCCGAAGAAATGGGGAGGTGGGTGTGAGTAGACACTACAAACTACAGGCTGTTATTCCCCACACTCCTGCCCAGGAACAGGAGGGTGCTTGCACGTATCGCTTCCTCTCTGTACACCTGTGGGGCATGGAACGTCTCCTTCTCAGGCTGTCGCTGCAGAGAGGCTAAGTGATTCACCCCGGGGCAGGTGAGGGGGTGAGCCCCCAGTTTCGAACCCAGGTCCTATGCCTCCTTTCTCCCTTGGCAAGCTGGGGACACCAGAGGAAGGAGACAGACATCTGTAATGACTTGGTACCACCTGTGAAGGGGAGGGAACATAAAGATGGATTTTGATGTCTCTGTTTGATGTCCAAGTTCTCTGAGAAATCCTATTTGCAATTTTCTCCTCAAATGTGACAATCTAGTGAACACACACACACACACACACACGCACCAGTTCTGAGAATGGGTTAAGTAAGAAGACTATGAGCACTGCCAGGGACACGTTCTCTATAACATGTCAACGTTTCTCCTCGTCCTCCCTCTTCGGGGGGAAAAGCCTTTCACGTACAGACTCTCCTAGCTCACTTGGAGGGTGAGCCGCTTAGCCATCTGTGGGAACACGTGTGACACACATATACGCTTCCAGGAGTCCACCGTAAGAGAACAGCTCCTTACTCTAACACCTGTTGAAATGTGTAAAGGTACCCTAGATTGTGCAGCCACAGTTTTATAAAATGGTTTTTAAATTCAGCTTCTTGCCTGTGTTGGCAGACCAACGGGGTAATATGGGGACTAGCCCTGCCCTCCTCGCTGCAGGAAAACGGGCCGGCACGGAGCAAAGCTGTTTGCTTCTGGCTTCACCGCCTGAACCTTTCCCCTTGGTGCACCCTCTCCCTGGGGGTGTTCTGGCTTGCGGGCTGGTGCAGGTCCCTCGCCGCCTCACGTCCTCGGGTGGGACCCTGGGACAACTCTGAGAAGCACCTTGAGAAGTCCTTGCTAGAACCCAGAAGAAGGGCGGAGTTTCAGGTACCCAAACCCGAAAAGCACAGATGGAGAGCTTTGCCCCCCTTCCATCTAACTAGATGGGGGGGGGGGCTCATTTTCACAGCAGGTAGCAGGGACCTCTTAAACCTTTGTGTACGCTCACTAGGGTGATGGCAAAAGAATCCAAAGAATGTAGGAGGGGAATCAGACTTGACTGAGGAGCAAAGAGCTTCTTCCCTTCTGCCCCGAAAAGCCTAAACTGAGCTCTATCCACAACTTCCCTGCCTGCATTAACCCTTTCTCCGTGAACTGGTGTTTTGAGTCTTTAACTTTCCTTTTGATCTTACAAGCCCTTGGAAACTCCAAAGCTTCAAGATGCCTCCAAGCTGTAAGGCAGCTAAAGCCATGATTCGTACTCTTTTTACACAAAACAACCAACAACCAACTGGGTCCTCAGTAAATGATAGAGCCAAATGTTTGGTTATTGAACACGATATTAAAAGACCGAGTCCATTTTCCCACAGAGATAGTCGATACGCCCCTGCCAAATGTTCTCCGGGAATCTGGCGTGCAATTCTAAGGAGCTCACGGGAGAACGGGGACACCCAGAGAAGTGGTTCTCATGGTGTGGTCCACGGACCCGCAGCATCAGCATCCTCCAGGGGGTTGTTAGAGACGTAGATGCTTGGGCCTCCTCCCAAACCTACTGATCCACAAGCCCCCTGGGATGGTACCCTGCAGCCCGTGTTTGAACAATCCCCTCATGTGATTCTAAACTACTCTTAAAGCTGACAGCAACTGACTGATACTGAGTTCAGGGCAAGAGGAGCCTGCCAGGGTGAGCACGGAGAAAGTGGTAAACGACCAAAAACTAAAAACCAGAAATACAACACAATAAAGATAGCAGTCTGCAGGATCAAATGAGTGGATCAAAATTACCTGGCATCTAAGATGTAGATGTAGAGAGATATAGATAAAAATACGTAGATGCAGGTATCGCTTCCTAAATGGTTATGCGTGAACTGAATCTTATCCTAATAGGGCCTGGAAATGATTTATGTGGAAACAGACAGGAAGCGGCCTTCTTTATTAAGTATCTGGCTGGAGCGAGAGCGTTTTCCACCTCGATTTCATCTTCCACGCAAGCTTTATGAGGTAGTTACTGCCGTCCCCATCTATCGAACGAGGAAATTGAAATGCACAGAGGTCAAGCAATCTGCCCACAGTGCTCAGGCAAAGAGGGATGGGGCAGATTTGAACCTGGGTCTCTGTGACCCCAGAGTCTGTGTTGATTTCTCTGCACGATGCCACACGCCCAGACACAGCAAGGCTATGCATTCGGATCATATAAAGCAAGGATTGCCTATTTTTTTTATAACTGCCTGATAAAATAAACCAGAAATTTTTATGATGTAAAAACAAATAACAAACACACAAATCAGCCTGGTTTCTTCAGCGCAAGAAAAAGGAAGGCAGTAGGCACAATGAGGAGTGTCCAGGGAAACACCAGGCTTCTACCCAACACCTGCCGGGTCAGTGTGTGTGTGTGTGTGTGAGGGCTCCCAGGATTCTCCTTCAGAGAGAGATAACAAGGCTCGGGTGGTTAAGGGTCAGTTCTAGCCCCGTCCATGCCCAGCCTAAGGAAGTTGGGAAGGCAGCGTATGTTCATTCTCACTGTGTTTCTGGGAAATGACCTGCTCCAGGTCATGTTGACAACGCTTTGCAGAGCTGAGGCTAGCCCTCAGCCTCGGACAGCCAGCCCCCCCTCACCTCTGCCTGTCACCACAGAAAACAGAACGATCCTGTGCTAGTCTAGCCCTCTTAATGCCCAGAAGGACCCCCGTGTTCATTTATTTATCCAGTTTGTTTTGCTTCCTCAAAAACTACCTTATAGAAGCAGTCCCCCAAGTTCCATAGCTAACCACACTTCTCTTGCTTTCTTTTGTGGGAGCCAAGGATGTCTCAGGCAGAAAATAAACTCCAAGTTCAGGTAAAACAGCCCAAGTGCAGCCCTTCACTCTTTGTGCCTCCTGGGATCGTCGGGCATCCTGAGAACAGGAGGAGGTTGGGGGGGCAGCATGTCAGGGCGCGCACAATGGCCAGCAGTCGTTTCTCTGGGGAGGGGGCTTGATGAAATCCCACACCTTGGACCTCACTTTTTTTTCTCACACCTGATGAAGGATGACAGTGAAGTCAATGAATCTCATGTGCTTAGTTCAGAGCTGGAGACAGTGCAGACAAGACAGACCAAGGGGGCTGGGGTGCGGGGTGGGTTTGGTCCTAGGACCCAGGAGGTGAATCCTGCCCACTTCACCATTTTCCTAAGGCACAGTGACCACACACAACCCAAATTCTGATGGTCTTCTGACACAGCTGTGAGCTGTTACTACAAAGGAGGCTGGGCAGAGGGTGGGAATGATCCAGCTCGAGCCTTTCTCCCCTGCTCGGTGGCCTGACAACCATGATGGCTTCGAACCCAAACAGTCCAGGGTACAGGAGGGACACTGAGCTGGATGTTGTCATGGCCACACATGCTTCCTAAACTAAATTTAGGGTTTTTTCCTTTTCTTTCTTTCTTCTTTTTTTTTTTTTTAATAAAAGACTAGATTCAAATGGTTGCTATAGACTATAATCTTTTCATGCCTCTGAGCATCTCCTAGCCCTGGACAATTGCATGACCTGCCCTGCACTTGAAGGCACTGACCTACTCCTGGTACAGCATGTCCTTGAACATGGGTGTCCCCGGATTAGTTCTCAGATGATTTCTCGCTCATTCAGTCAGATGGATAACCAAGAACATACATATAATAGAGACAACTGATAGTTTTAAGACTGAGGTCGCATCAATCTTAAACACTAGAGAATACAGGTGGTTTTTGTGAAATACTTAACGTCTCTACACAGAGACCAAACTGACTTTCTTTCTTTTTTTTTTTTTTAAAGATTTTATTTATTCATTTGAGACACAGAGATACAGAGAGAGAGAGAGAGAGCATGAGCAGGGAGAGAGGCAAAGGGAGAGGGAGAAGCAGGCTTCCTGCTGAGCCAGGAGCCCGATGTGGGGCTCGATCCCAGGACCCTGGGATCATGACCTGAGCCGAAGGCAGATGCTTAACCATCTGAGCCACCCAGGTGCCCCAAGACCAAACTGACTTTCACTTCATAAATTCTGTAGTAAAGCCAACCAAATTCACAACATGTTTGCTCCTGAGGAATGCTGATAGCCCATCAGGGGACAGGTCTTGAGGATCCACCTCAGACACACTGACTGGACCACCCACCATGATCTTCAAGCAATAGGGATGCACTGAGTCAGCAGCACTAAGGATAAGAGAACTAAAAGTCACTCGGCCACTAAAATCAACCCAAGTAAGCTATGAAATGCTCACCTTGCATATTTGCCATTCATCTTGCAGGGCCAGTGGTGACCAGCAAAACTGAATGAAATAGAAACCATCAATACCAGCCGATTAATGGCACTCAAACTTCACTGACCATCAGAATCACCTGAAGGCTTGATTAAAACCCAGATCGCTGGCCCCAGACTTTTTGATCTAGTCATTCTGGGCACGAGACCTGAGAACTTTTTGCATTTGTAACAAACTTCCCGGTGCTGCGGCTGGTCCCGAGGCCACACTTGGGAGAACCGTTGTAGAATATGACCAAAGCCCTATTGAATGCTAACCCATGTCCTTCCGAGCGCTGAGCCCTTCTCACACCCCTGTTCTCGCCTACAGGGAGAGATGCTGAAGCCAGCCCACCTCCTGCTGTTGCTGCTGCTGGTCCCAGGGGCCCCCCGGCCAGGCCTCTCCCAGAAGTCCTACGGGGCCAAGTCCTTCTTCAGCTGTATTAGCACAGCCCTGTCGGAGGCCAGGAGGAGCCGGCTGGGGGATGCACCGCCGCTGAGCAAGAGAGGCTTCCCCTACCTGCCCAGCCAAGACCCCTCCTCAGGAGAGGACGAGAAGAAGGAGGAGGAAGAGGACAAGAAGAAGAGGACCTTCCCAGGTTCAGGGGGCGGTGGCGGAGCAGGAAGCGCCCGGTACAAATTCCTGCCCCCAGCTCAGCCCAAGGGGAGGCTGTACCCGGACAAGGCCAAGAGTGACCGGCGCACCAAGTTCACGCTGTCCCTCGATGTCCCCACGAATATCATGAACATCCTCTTCAACATCGCCAAGGCCAAGAACCTGCAGGCCAAGGCAGCCGCCAACGCGCTCCTGATGGCCCAGATTGGGCGTAAGAAGTAGAAACAGAGGCCTGCCTGCAGGAGGGCGGGCGGCACGTCAAGGACAGGGCCGGGGCCCGGGGTGGAGGGCCAGGGGCTGCCAGTTCGGCCGGTCTGTATCTTGAGGGATGGGTGGGGTTCTCCAGGCTGCTTCACTGCTCGGCCCCTCTGCTCCCTTCCCACCTGCAGCCCAGCCCCCTCCTCTGCGCACATGCACACAAGTGCAGGACTGTCCCACCTGCGCAGACGTGAGGCCGTGACTGTCCCACCTGCGCAGACGTGAGGCCGTTCATGTCTCCCCCTAGATTCCGCCTCTCTTTTCTCCTTGCCTGCCATAGAGGCGAAGGTCCCCCCGTCCTGCTCTTCCTCCACAACCCGTGCCTGGAAAGAGGGCGCAAAGCACTCCTTCCTGCCCACACACCACCCCATCCACGCTTCACCATCCTGACTTCAGACCCCTTCCCTTCCCTCTTGCCCCCATTAAAACCGATGGCTTCCGCAACCCCGGGCTGGTTTTGGTTCCTCTTCCTTCAGCCAGCAGCCTTCACATCTCTGAGCGTGGAAAGGGGGAGGTGGACGAGGGAGGCAGCAAAGGAGTCCGTTCCTGATCTCTCCCGGGACAGAGAGGTTCTTGGAGGTTCTAGCAGGGGTAAAGAAAGGCTTGGAAAGGCCAAGCATTGCTCGGAAAGGCTGTCAGGCATTGCTCAAGCTAGAGCCATGTGCATGGCCTGGTCCGGCCCAGGAGGCCCAGCCTAGGGTCTGCTGTAGAATGGGCACCAGGTTAGGTGGGGAGGGGGCTTTCAGTTATTCGCCTGTGCCGCCCCGAACTCCACCATGCCTGGGCATGGGGCCACTAGGCCGGCGAGAGGCGTTTATTGGCCCCGCAGTAACTGCCCAGCTGATGCCAGGCCTGGTGGGAAAGGCTAGTGGGGGAGGCAAGGCCTCTGCTCTCCTGAGTCAGCACGCTATGTAAGGATGGGAACCCAGGCTTGAAAAGTAGCAAATACCACCAGGGACTGCATGAGCGACAAACCGCCAAGTGATAGCAACTGGCGTAAAAAATTATAGGAGGGATTCGGAGATGAGAAGTTCTAATACGAGTAAAAGTCCACTAAAAAGGGACATCGGCAAGAACTCTGATGGTCTCTGGCTGCAAAACCCAAGGGCCAGATTCCCAAAGAGGGATTGTGGTTCTACTGCCTCCCATGTGGTGAGATGTTATAAGTAACAGGACAGGAACTTCTGCATGTTGCCAATTACTTTGCAATAAACGACATTCACACACACCCACAGTGCATGCTACCACTGCCCCCCGAGGCCAAGTCAAAACACAGATGCAAGACAGATTAGAAAAATGCTTGCCGGTCATATAAAAGACCAAGGGTTTACTGATCAAATGATAGAGCTGCTAAAAATTGAGAAGAAAAGAACAACCCCTCCCCCCAAATAAGCAAGGCCATGAATAGATCTCTCTCTCTCTCACACACACACACACACATTCAAATGATCTTTACGTATGAGAAAATGCTAAACTTCATTCCAAGAGAACTGCACTCATAGACAATTTCTCACCTATCAGATTGGAAAAAGTCCCCAAGTATGACAATTAACCTAGACTCCACGGATGAGGTCAATAGCCACCCTCCTCCATTGCTGGCTGGTGGGAATATAAACTCTAGAGAGACCATTTGGAAGTACTTATCAAAATTACAAATTCATTTTTTTCCAAGATTTTATTTTTAAGTAACCTCTCCACCAACGTGGGGCTCGAATTTACAACCTCGAGATCAAGAGTCGCATGCTCCACTGAGCCAGCCAGATGCCCCAATCCTAATTGGTTTAAAAGAAAGGAAACCCCCAGCCCCTCTGCCTTCTCCTCAGTAGGGAAGAATATGTACATAGAAAAGGAACAACCTCGCTGGCAAGAGTTGAAGAGTATTTTAGGAGAATATGGCAAGCCCACGGTAATCCCTGGGTGACACAGCAGGCTCCTGGTACACGGGGGTTTAACACTGTGATGAGGCTCTGTGAGTCTCGGTGCAAAACACCTGTCACCTGCCTGAGATACACCTGTGGGTAACTCTGCGGGGCAGACGTGCACGAACAGATTGCTTTGTGGCCATGAGCCCAGGCAGTTACTGAGTGACCGGTCTCGGGGCAGAGGCCGGTGGCAGATGGCGTTGACCTCTCCTCATTATCAAGGATGCTCCATATCATTAAAGACTAAAAGAGAGCTGCTTACGTTTCCACAGGTGTTACTGCATTTTGCAAAGGAGATTACTGATGAACATGGCAATGCTCAAAGGTCTTCAGCAAAGTCTCACTGCATAAGCTCTATCTGATTCTGTTTTAGGAATATATCAGGGAGCCCCCAGATCCACTGCCCTAGAACTGAGTGTGCCACATGCTAGAAAGTCTAGGAGGAAGCCCCAAAGACAAAGGCTGATAGAATTGAGTTCAGTTGACATATTGTGTAATAAACACATTTTTAAAAATTAAAAAATAGTAGATTCTTAACAATCATTAGAGTTTATGAGAAACTATGCTATGTTAGCCCTGAGGACCCTCCTCTGAAGTGGATTTAAATTAAAATAATAATTATTATAATAATGCTTTGGCTGAAGAGACCATGGGATGAGTGATACCAAAGGGAATCACGATCCTTCCTTGTCAAGGATCAGTAAAATTCATGGGCCAACAAAAACACTAGTGTCAGTTCATTATGGCCAGGAAAGGAAATCACACCATGGAAAAGATAAAAAAAAAAAAAGATGTGATGAACACAAAGGCATTTGAGGTTCACAGGAAAGTTTCAGAAGCGGTTTTTGGGGTGATAATAATGAGATCATGTCAGTGAAAATTCTCAACACAATTTCTGTCGGATAATTTGTGTTGATTTGAGCTCCCTTGAAAAAATCGTCAAAACTCTCTTAAAAATAAAACAAGGCTCAAAAGCCAAGTGAAGCTCCTCAAAAGAGACAAGACCAGAGCATGGATGATGTGACCTCTAAATGTCCTACCTCGGAAGAAATCTGAAAAAAAACACCAACCACAAGCAAAGGGGCCTGCTTGTGACATGACTTTGGAGCTGTAACCAAATAATCAGGGAAAGCTGAGTGACACCCAGAATTCAGTCAGGTATTTTATATAATTCCAAAAACATGGGAGATCCACAAGTTCACAAGAATGTAGAATTAAACTAAAAAGACAGTTGCCAGGGCGCCTGGGTGGCTCAGATGGTTAAGCGTCTGCTTTCGGCTCAGGTCATGATCCCAGGGTCCTGGGATCGAGTCCCACATCAGGCTCCCGGCTCAGCGGGGAGCCTGCTTCTCCCTCTGACCCTCACCCCTCTCATGCTGTTTCTCTCTCGCTCGCTCTCTAAAAAATAAATAAAATCTTTAAAAATAAATAAATAAATAAATAAATAAATAAATAAAAAGACAGTTGCCATATATTAAGAGCCAAAGAAATACAAACTCTTGCCAAATGGTGTAGCTAGCTACCTACCTTAGAAAGAATTACAGATGAATTTCAATCTGACTTGAAAATTAAGTAATCACGTTAATCTAAGCATGGGCTGTGGGACAATTTGTTTTTTTAAAAACAAATGTATTAAAAAATAATAATAATTAAAAATAAATAAATAAATAAAAACAAATGTATTGAGGTATAATTGACATATGCCATTATGTCAGTTTCAAGGGTACAACATAATGACTCCACCTTGTTCTTTCATTAATGAAGTTCCCATCATAGATTATTCCTAGGGTTGAGCACATTCCATTAGAACCTGTCACAGCCCAGTGGGTATCACTGAGAAGCCTCCGTAAGTGGAGAAGGCAAAAGACACACAAAAAATTATCTTGGGAAGGAAACCCCAAACCTATAGGATGACACAGTATTTTCTCAAAGGTAAGCATGTTTCGTCCCAGCAGAGAATTCTCCCCCTTCCTCCCTAAGCCATTGTTCCCCACCTGAACCTCACGTCATCAAATGCTACCATTCACCAACAGCTGGGTCAGTGCGCCTTGTTTGCCCATCATTTTAGCTCTTAGCTCATCAATCTCTCTGACACCATTCCTGCCTTCACGATTTCAACACACGTATGGATGACCCATCCAACATCCTGGTCTCATTTCTACTCCCTGACCCTGTCCCTCCAACTCACTCGTGTGGCCACACTCCAGACTTTGTCATTAAATCATAAGCTGTCCGGCCACCCTTCCTATCTTCCCAGCTTGCTCTTTCCAGGAAGCCAACCCCAACCATCTTCTAGCCCCACTGAGACCAATAATCCATTGATCCTCAAAACTGCCCTTCACTCTTGGCCAGAGCAAATGCTGTGATCAATCATTATCACTGTAGCTGTGTAGACACCTGTAATTCCCTGTTCTGCTTTTGCTTTGCCTTATTGATGAAACCCTGATGAATTCACTCTACCACTCTGCCCCTGCACTCTGACGCTGAACACAACTTAAAACACATGCACACATGCGCACACACTCATGCACGCGCACACACTCATGCACGCCCACACATCCACGCACACACGCACGCTATCACCGATTCCACTTTATGATCCTGACAAGCCCTTCATGCAGTTCAGCAATGACATCGCATGCCTTCCACTCCCACTCGGACTACCCGGGACATTCACTCATCTTCTTCTCTCCGCAAACCTCACATAGTTCCTCAGCATGTCCCATCTTAGCTGGTGACCTTGCTTTTCACTTCACTAAATCGGATGCTTCTAAAGCAAAATTTCACAAAGTCCCATCAGCACATTTGCCCACCCCAGGCGTCACCATCCACACACTCAGCCTTCTTCTCTAAGCTGGATGCACCATCCATGTGCCCTGTGTCATGTCCAAAGTTCCCATCCCCTTTGGCCGCCCTGAGACACTGATCCAACAACTTTTCCTCCTTTCTCCCACGTCATCAGCATTACCCCACCCGCCGCTTCAGTCACATCGGCATACAAACCCACTTTACTTGTCCTGTATCAACAACAAACCCCCAAATCCTTGATTGCCACTCTTTCCAGATCGTAGCCCACCACTCTACTCCTCTTACGGCCATCCACTGTGGGCAGTTCTCTCTTGGGACTGAATGTCTCTCATTCCCCGTTAAACCCACACTTCTCAGGCTCCATCCCTACCGTTCCACTGAAACCGCTCGTCAGGGTCAGTCAAGACCTCCACGTTGCTAAATTCAATGGTCAAGGGACAGCCTTCATCCTTCTTGACCTGTGGACCACTAACTACCTCCTCCTTCATGCACCTTTTTCCAACCTGATTTTGAAGACACCATACTCTATTTCCCTTCTTCCCCACTGGCCACTCCTCTAGATCTCCTCTGCTGGTGTCTTTTTCCCGGGGCTGCTCTTCCTCCAGATAACCTGCATTCTCCCTGTGTCACTTCCTCCACGTCTTAGTCAAATACCTCTTCCTCCCTGGCCATCCCTCTCTCCCCCTTACCATGGTCTAGTTTTCCCAATCACACCTATCACCTTCTAACACCTAACATAATTTAATTGCAGTGTTTATTGTCTTTCATACGCCCCCCTTTACTACCATGTAAACGCCATGAGGACTGGGATTATTTTTGTTCAACATTGTATCCCCAGTGGTCAGAAAAGTGAGTAGCACATGATAGGTGGTGGGTAAATAACTAGTGAATAAGACAATTCAATAATGTAGTAAAGTTCTTGCGACAAGGAATCTGTGCCTATTTAGCATTTAAAAGTACAGCTTTTGTAATAGTTAAGAGTATGTGGCCTAATAGAAACATTTGGGCTTACAATTCCAATTTTAAAATATGTGAACTGAGTGAATAATTTGCATTTGTGATCTTAAATAAAAATCTTACTAGTTTAGGGACACCTAGGTGGCTCAGTTACTTAAGGGTCTGCCTTCAGCTTGGGGTCAGGATCCCAGGGTTCTGGGATCAAGTCCCGCATGGGGCTCCTTGCTCAGTGGGGCGCCTGCTTCTCCCTCTGCCTGCCGCTCCCCCCTGCTTGTGCGCTCTTCTCTCTCTCTCTCTGACAAATAAATAAAATCTTTAAAATAAAAAATCTTACTAGTTTATAGACGGTTTGGAACACTTGAGCATACTTAATCAGCATGTTTATAGTTTCACTTATTAGATTTTAAAAGAATTACTTAAAGTACTTAAAAGAAAACAGAACATATTAAATTTATAAATGCAATCTGAAATGTTTAAGAGCAATTATCTAAGATTGCAAAGAAGATGAAAAAGTCATTGTATTCCCTTTAAAAGTGATTATTTAAATTTGCTAAACTTAGAAATCATAAGATTCTCAGGCTGACCTTAAAAGTTTAAGAAATAATTAGGTTTTGTTTTGTGTTTAAGAGAGGGGGAGGGAATCTAAAGCAGGCTGCATGCCCAGCACATAGCCCAATGCGGGGCTCGATCTCACAACCTTGAGATCATGACCTGAGCTGAAAATCAAGAGTCAGAGGCTCAACCGACTGAGCCACCCAAGCACCCCAAAATAATTAGGTTTTTAATCTTAATGTTAGCAGATTATTAATTTTTAAAAAACAAAAGAAAACCTCTAAATGGTCTTTTCTGTGTGAGTACACCTACACACACGCACGCTCACACACACAAACGTCCTTCAGAATAGCAAAACAATTGTGAGAACTGAGGGGTTATTTAAGCGTTCACTAGTGCCCTCTGGTGTCTGAAGAGAGAAACAACACATGCATTTAAAACTAGCGAAAGTCTAATACAAGTCCAAAGTTCTATGTAGGATATGCAGATGAAAAAAACATATATATATATAATTCATTAATGAGTATTTACTACAATATTTCCACTGTAGTGAGAGATTTCATAGTGCATCCCAACTGCCTCTAATCCTGGGGTGGGAGTAAATGGATGCCCAAGAAACTCCAGGGGACAGGTGAACTGGGTTTGAAGTAAGTATAACACCCGGCCACAGAAGGAAAGAAGAAGGAAAGGAGCAAGAAGGAGCAAAGGCAGAGGAGAGAGAAGAACAGGTGCTAGAAGTAGTGAGTGCTCCAGTTGGGATGGAATGCAGGAGAGCACAGTGAAGGACAGGACTGGAAATTCAAGGTGGAACTAGTGGGGACAGGCTCAGCACACCATGAGCAGGGATTTAGACTTCATACTTAAGAAGATGGGAATCACTAAAGCTTTGAGCAAGGGGGCAAAATCATCCAAGCTGTGCTTCGGAATGTCGTCACAAGTGTGCCGAACGCATCAGGAAGACAAAGGGAAAGGCAGAAAAGCCTCCGGGCACTAGTGTTCTAGCTACGGGAGAGGGTGTGGAGGCCTGAGCCCGGATGGCTTCGATGGGAAGACGAGGAAGGGAATGGATCCTGGAATCATCACAAAAGTAGGATGGCTAGGATTCAGGCTCTGTAGAAAGCAAGAAGGCAGTCAAAAATGATGGTGTTGTTTAGAATCTGGGAAGATGACATAAATAGACAAGACAGAACACTCAGGGGAGAGCAGGTTTCTTTTGAGGAAAATGGTAAGTTTTTCTCGGAAGAAGTTAAATTTAAGTACAGGCAATATGTCTGAGAAGATAGCAGGTAGGCGGAAGTTTTGGTTAGAACTCGAGAGAGAAGGAAAACTTAAAGTCTTCAGTCACTCACGTGGAGCGAATGTGGTTGTGTAAAGGTAACTGAGAGCCAGAGAAAGGCACCAAGAGCATCTCCATCAGGGGGCAGACAGGGCAGAAGAGGAGCCTGCAAAATGGTACATCATACGCAGGGAACTCTTGACGGCCACATCCCAGGGCACTGATACTAGTACGTAAGAGCATCTACCAGGAAACCATTAAAAGTGGAGTGGCCAGTCTGGGTCCACGCAATAAGAAGGTGATTGCACTGCAGTTTGGTAAATCTCTCAATATGACCCTCAACCTTATGCCTTCAGCCAAGGCTTTAGTGGCTATTACCCTCAGATATCTACCAGGTGTAGTGGGAGAACCAACTAGGTTCCCAGGAGCTACAGGAAAAGTTTCAAGGAAAAGGAATAACCACTTAGAGTAAAGAAAGCTGAAGGCTGAGAAAGTCTTTTGTTTTGAGGTATGATCAGTGATCTTCAAGATAAAGTCTTCAGTAGAATGGTGGGGAAGACAGATTACAAACGAGGAGTGAGCAGAAGATGAGGAGCAGGCATCAGACGTATATTCCTTTGAGCAGTTTGACAGAGTGGAAAGATCTGAGAGTATGTTATGGGGGTCACAGCATTTAGGAAAAGGGGTTGATTTTTTGAACAAGAAGGCCTGGACATGCGAGTTAGGAAAACAACAACAGCAGCAGCAGCAAAATCAATGGAGAAAGAGAGAATATACAAAGGAGATCGAAGGAGTGAGATCTCCTAGAAGGTCAGAGTCAAGAGGAGAAGGTGCAAAAATTATAAATGGCCTCAGAATGGACAGCGCTATTCCTCTGGGATGGAAGAGAACATGTGTAGATTCAAAATAAGTTTAAGGGGAAGACTGAAGAGGAACACAAGAAGTTAAAAATCAGATGGATATGATTCAGTAAAGTAAGAAATAAGGTCCTCTCCTGGCGCTTTTCAATTTAATAAACATATGAGTACATACTCTATGCCTGGAGCCATAGATAGACAGATGAACAAGAGACTCCCTGCCTCAAGTTCATATTTTCATTATCTCAGGTGACCTCACTCTTTGAGGAAGAAAAGGCAAATATCATTCCCTGTCAACCCCAGATCCACATCAACAGAATACCTAAGGGAGGTATTTTGCCAGAAGGAAAATGATCCCACATGGAAGTCTGGCAACCAAGGAGGAACGAAGAGCACCAGAGGATAACCAGGAAGGTAAATCAAAGCAAAACACCTTGTTTCAAACACCAGCAATAATAGTCAATGCCTTGTAAGGTTTAAAATAAATGGCACTAAAAGATAAGGTCACAATACACGAAGGGCAAGAAGGTAGTAAACGAGTTCTATGATTTTTTTCCATCGTCCAGAAGTAGTGAAAACACTAATGTACAGTAGATGCTAACAAGTCAGGTTTGAATGCTGTCATTTCTATGGTATCCACTGAAAGAAAAAAACAGTTTAATGAATGTTTAATAAATTGAGAGAGGAAACATAAATAATACAGAAAAATACTTGGTAACTCTAATATCATATATGGCATGTAGAGGCTTGATGACTACTCCTTAGACCTAATCCTAAAACTCACAAGTATGTGAAATGTCCATTATATTTAGGTCATCAAATATCTTTATTTATTACCGAATAAGACAGAGGTTTTTAAAAGGCAAACATAAGACACATATGTTAGTTGAAAAAGAGAACTCCATAAATTTGGATATAGGCTCCTTCAAGCATTGAAGGTTTTCTTTCGCGCTTAAAGGGCCACACAATGCACTGTTGGTCTATGTTGTATTCGGGGAAAATGACAGAGGGCACCGATCACTCCTTTCTTTGCAGAAAAAAAAAAATTTATTTATTATTTATTTATTTTTTTACTTTCCTCCAAATATTTGATCACAGCAGGTCAGAGATATAGGAATGACAATCATCCCTTTCCTTATTGTTACCCTGGAAGTCTTGGCACATCTCAGGATTAACAGGCCTCAGGTTCCAAAGGGAACTCTGGTATGAAGTTGTTTTAGTGTCAACATAGATTGAGCCCTTGGCAGAGGACCTTGGACGTAGAGTTCAAAGGGGATCCAGCCAAAAGCATTGAGACTTGAGGACCGAGCAAAAACTCACTGATGGGTGGCCTGGAAAACCACCTCTTGACAGGCATGTCTTGAAGTGTCTAGACATCATTTCTACCAAAGTGTGCTCATTGGCCTCCATGGGTGACAACATATGAGTGGAAAACAGATGGTACATCATGTGAATGGAGCTCTTGGAGGCCACATCCCAGGGCAGTGATATTAGTACATAAAAGCATCTATCTACCAAGGAAACCATTAAAGGTGAAGTGGCCAGTCTGGGTGCATGCAGTAAGAAGGTGGTTGCACTGCGGTTTGGTAAATCTCTCAATATGACCCTCAACCTTATGCCTTCAGCCAAGGTTTTAGTGGCTGTTACCCTCAGATATCTACCTAAACCAAAATCTCTGACCACGCTGAGGCCAAGAGGGTACAAATGGAGGACTAAGGCTGCAAGGTAAACACCACAGCTGAATGAGGTACCTGGAAACCATCTAACATCAGCCCAAGAGCAACACCTAAGTCCGAGTGAGCACCTTTGTAGTGTCTAGTCCACCTTAACTCCAATGATTAGTCAGACTAAACATCATGGATAATAAAAATGTGGCTGATGGTTTTAATGCATTTATAACTATTTTTGCCCATTTTAAGTTATAACTTGTTTAAAAGTGGGATAGTTTAATACCAAAAATGAATTCCTTCAAGTGTGTTTTTTAAACTTCAAATTCTTAGGCCATGCCCCCTCCAATCTCCAGAGAATCTGCATATTTTAAATTTTTTTATTTTTTTAAATTTTTAAGTAATCTCTACACCCAACGTGGGGCTTGAACTTACAACCCCAAGATTAAGCGTCACACACTCCACCCACTGAGCCAGCCAGGTGCCCCAAGAATCTGCATTTTTTTTTTCTAAACCTCTCCACTGGTTCTGATGCAGGGCTCTGCTGGCCACACTTCGAGAACATCTCCTCAAGGACGGGGAGCTGAGAGAGACCCCTTTCACCTCCTGACCCACAGGAACACAGATGCAAATTTTTGAAAGACCCAAGAATATTCTTGCTATTTGTTTGTATAAAAAGCAAACCAAGACCTTAAAGCCTATCTTTGGAAGAAAGAAAAGAATGATACTGAAATATTCATTATTTAATCAATGTACAAAATACAGACATGGGGGAAATAACATTAATAATTAACATGTGCTGTCTTACACCTCAGGAAAGGGAAAGCAAAAAGCACTGACTTTAGGGTTTCATCATCTTTTGTTGAAGAAGCAAAGAATAAAGCTAGGTTTCCATTCTAAGAAAAAAACAAAAACAAAACAAAAGAAAAGAAACATGGACATGATCCAGACGCTCAAAGGACCCCAAACCAAGGGAGTTCACAGGTAGCCGTGCTGAACCACCAGACAGGGACCTGTGAGTTCATTGTTGATACTGACCCATTTGATTTAGTGCACAGCTTAGGGTCTTGCTTGATTTGGTTTCCAGTTTCCTCCAGTCAAGGGAAATCTACCCATCAAGAGTACATAAGTCTTGAAAAGAAAGCATGACCCTTCAACTCAACACTCATTCTCCCCAGCCACATTTCCATCAGAAACTTTGCCCCATTTCTTCGTAATCCTTCTCTAGAGCGGCCAAGTCTTCCCTGGCCTCTGAGAACTCGCCTTCCTCCATGCCTTCCCTGAGGTACCAGTGCAGAAATGCCCTCTTGGCGTACATGAGGTCAAACTTGTGGTCCAGGCGGGCCCAGGCCTCCACGACGGCCGTGGTGTTGCTCAGCATGCACACGGCCCGCTGGACCCTGGCCAGGTCCCCTCCCGGCATCACCGTGGGTGGCTGGTTGTTGATGCCCACCTTGAAACCAGTCGGACACCAATCCACAAACTGCACAGAGTTCCTTGACTTCATGGCTGCAATGGCTGCATTCACATCTTTGGGGACCACGTCTCCTCTGTAGAGTAGGCAGCAGGCCATGTACTTCCCCAGCCGAGGGTCGCACTTGACCAGCTGATTGGAGAAGTCAAAGCAAGCAGCTGTGATGTCGGACACAGAGAGCTCCTCACGGTAGGCATGGTCAGCAGAGATGATGGGGGCAAATGTTGTCATGGGGAAATGTATTCTTGGATAAGGTACTAGGTTGGTCTGGAATTCAATGAGGTCCACATTCAAGGGCCCTTCAAACCGGAGGGAAGCAGTAATGCAAGATACCGCCTGACCTATTAGCCTATTAATGCTGGCGTAAGAGGGGCGCTCGACACCGAGTTTATGGTGGCAGATGTCATAGATGGCCTCATTGTCCACCATGAAGGTGCAGTCCGAGTGCTCCAGGGTGGAGTGTGTGGTAAGAATGGAGTTGTAAGGCTCCACTACAGCAGTGGAGATCCTGGGGGCTGGATAGACAGAGAACTCCAATTTCGTCCTCCTGCTATATTCTATCGAGAGCTGCTCCATTAAGAGAGATGTAAATCCTGATCCGGTGCCTCCTCCAAAGCTTCGGAAAATCAAAAATCCCTGAAGTCCACTGCACTGCTCTGCCTGGGGAAGCAAAGGACAGGTGAGACCTGGGCTACATGAACCCAGAAGCAGTGGTAGTGGGAAGACAAGAAGTTCCCCTAAACAAAGAAAACTTTCAGAAAGGACGGGTGTACCCTTATTAATGCCCCAGTAACACACACGAGTGGTTACCTCTGGGGTAGGGGAAGTGCTTTAGAATTTCACTATAAGCAAAGCATAAATATTCAACTGTCTCCAGCTGTCCTCCATGAATTTATCTGCATGTGACCTAAAGCAAGGTCTTTCTTAGTAACAAACAAAATGGCCAAATATTGAAGCAACCTACTCCCCGCCCCCCAGAAGATGAAGTACCTATCACGTCTACATCCAATCTACTAGCCGGTGTAAAAGGCATTGTATTGCTTAAGGATTATGCCAGACACCAAAATATGTACTAGACAAAGGATTCCCCAGATGCAGGTCCTTAAAGGAGAGTTCACTGACAGTAACTAGAGTAACTAATCTCCTGGTAGGATGTGCCTCCTCTTAACTTCACGAATAATGGATATTACTGGAAAAGGACAAGTGTTAGGATGCTTTGGAAGTCTGTGATAACAAGGTGAGCCATGATGAGCGGGCAGAAGCAAGAATAGAGGGGGGTTAGCCATTAAAAAGAAGGACATCCTGCCATCTGTCACAGCATGGATGGACCTTAAGGGCATTATGCCAAGTGAGATAAGTCAGACACAGAAAGACAAATACCATATCATCCCGTTCATATACGTGGAATCGGAAAATGTCAAACTCATAGAAACAGAAATTATGCTGAGTGAAATAAGTCAATCAGAGAAAGACAAGTATCATATGATCTCACTGATATGAGGAATTTGAGATTCCTCAAATGAAACAAGATGAAGCCGGAGGGGAGATAAACCATAAGAGACTCTTAATCTCAGGAAACAAACTGAGGGTTGCTGGAGTGGAGGGGGTGGGAGGGATGGGGTGGCTGGGTGATGGACATTGGGGAGGGTATATGCTATGGTGAGTGCTAGGAATTGTAAGACTGATGAATCACAGACCTGTACCCCTGAAACAAGTAATACATTATATGTCAATTAAAAAAAAAGAGAAACGGAAAGTAGCACAGTATCTGCTGTGTAACGGGGAGATGTTGGTCGGAGGACACAGACTTCCAGTTAGAAGATGAGTCAGTTCTGGGGAACTAATGGACAGCATGGTGACTTTGGTTAACAATACTGTGCTGTACGCTTGAAAGTTGCTAAGAGAGTGGATTTAAACGTTGTCACCCCCCACATACACACACAGCAACTGTCCTGTGGCCATCACTGTGCAAATATGTGTATATCAAATCATCATGTGGTACACCTTAAATTGACACGATGTTGTATCTCAATAGAGCAGTGGAATAAACCAAAATATTTCCTTCTTCACCCTTCCTATAAAACAAAGCGTCATCAAAGCCAACAGCAAGGCGCTTCCCGGCTGTGAGCTTCCGTGGGAGAGGCCGGTGGCAGTGACCCGGGGGGTAGGAACCACGGTGTTGTCTGGAAGGCAGATCCCAGGCACTCAGGTATGGCCCCCGACTAAGGAGAAAGGGGCCACTTGCCAGCTTTCGGATCCTCTCTAGCACAAGGTCGATGATCTCAGACCCCACAGAGTAGCGACCGCGGGCGTAGTTGTTCGCAGCATCTTCCTTCCCGCTGACGAGCTGCTCTGGGTGGAAGAGTGAGCGGTGCTGGCCAGCTCGAATCCCATCTGCAGAGGGGACATGAGGTCAGCACATGCCACTCCAACTGCTAGCCGTTTGCCGATTCAACTGCCAGCCCAATGCCAATTTCCCCAGTGTTGCGGTAAAGAAAGGGCCCTCAGCCGCTGAGCCGGCCTTCCTGAGTCTAGGAACAGTATCATTATTTCCAGACAAATTGAAAGTACGTTTTCCCATTGTAGACCCTTTGTTAGTTTCTTACAGCTGCTGTAACAAATTACAACACACTTGGTGGCTGGAAACAAGAGAAATGTTTGCTCTCACCAGTGGTTCAGGAGGCCGGAAGTCCAAAGTCAAGGTGTTGGCAGGGTTGGTTCCTGCCCGAGGTCTCAGGAAGAAGCTGTTCCTCGGCTTAGGGCTGCACCACTCGTGCCTGCCACCATCACGCATGCCCACCCCCCCACACACTGGGTCCCCTCTTCCTCTCATAAGGACACAGACCCCTGGAGTTAGGGCTGACCCCAATCCCGTAGGATCTAACTTAGTACACTGGCAAAGACCGTCTTTCCAAATAAAGGCATATTCTGAGGTTCTAGGTGGACACCGATTTTTAAGAGACACTCTTCAAACCCTGTGACACTCTGGTATCCTAAGGCAAGTATTTCTACCTACAAATAGCCAACTGAGTGCCGGAAAAGCAGGGAAAAGCGGACCGATCTAAATTATTACTAGTCTGCTTTAAAAAAGAGGCTTTAACAAAGAAGGTGTGAAGAGCTCGAATGCCCACCCAACTCGAATGCAATTGATACAAACGCAAGAAGCAGGGAAATTGGGGTTAAGATGCTGGTAGTCTTCAACCCAGCCAAGGGCAACTCCTGCCTGGTTTTCCTCCTTTTAAAAACCTGCTCAGCATGAGAAAATACCCAAACACAGGCGTCTCGGGCCCATGTTCTGCTCCCCAAGCCTAGAATTACCCAGATAGCACGACTCCTACAGAATCACGCATCGGTGTTTGAAGGCTAAGCAGGCTCTGGGAACGTTGCCCAGGTTACAGGCGGACACGGTGCCGCACAGTATTCAAGAGCATGTGTCCGAGAATCCATTTCCCAGGTTCACGGTTTCCTTTGTCACTTGGCTATCCAGCAGTTCCTTAGCATCCCTAAATATCAATGACCTCACCTCACATATAAGGATAACAAGACCTACCCCGCTGAGCTACTAGGAGGATTACATGAGATCATAGGGCACAATGCAGAGCCCATATGGCAACGATTATAAATAATAATGACACAATTGCCTTCAAGACATGTACCTATGCTAATACCGCATCGGCCTCATCACCAGATACCTATAGATAGTCCTAGAAGCTCACTGCCTAAGGGGAAACACTCAATTTCTAAGAAAGAGACGAGATGGCAATCTCAATTCACCTTGCTCTCCTGTCCATGACCATGAATTTCTAACCACAATTTTGTACACCTCCAAACGCTTAAATTTACTAGAATTGATTTAAAGGACTCTTAAGTAACATACACACAACAAAAAAAGTAAACAAAAAGACAAACCAAAAAAACCAAGAAAGTGGAAAGTTTTAAAAGGTGTATTTATAAACACAATGTAAGTGGGCATATAACTCTGGGTGGACTCTTTGCTTCTCACCTGCAGCTAATAAGGCTGAGTTCAAGCTAAGAAGGGAATTTCTGGAATTCTGGAAGCCTGCTTCTTCGTGGTAATGTCCAGTGGAGATCTTGAGGGTCATCCATAAATTCTTTCGGTAAAAACCACTTTCTTGGAGATCAGTGATTATAGCACTGCCATTTATGAGCACACCCAAGCTGTCCACTCTCACTTCCTGGCACTTTTTCCACTTGGCTCAGAGACGTGAGCATCTGGCCCAGCGTCCTTAACCAGCATCCTCAGGGAGTTCAATGGTATTTAAACATGATTATTTGACAGTTCCTTGCTCCCTTACTTTCAATGCTATTAGCCCCAGTCCACTGGAAATCACTCACAACTGTCCCCCCGCCAAAATCTTAAAGATGCAAAATCCTTTCTCCAACCAAACTTCCTTACTTCCCCCTTCTCGCCCATGACCCAGCTCAACAATCTTTCCAGCTTCCTGTCCCCATCGCTCTCCTACTCACACCCTGTTCCTGTTCAAGGTGCGCATTCTTCCACGCCTCTGGGAAGCCGGCAACGCTGCTCCCTGGGTCGAAGACGTTTGACGGCTCACCAGCTATTCATCCCTTCCTCGGGGATACCTCTGCACCTCACAGACATTTCAATTGTTATTAGGTTGATTTGGAGGACGCTGACATTTTTTACGTAAAAAATAATCGACCGTGGGCAATTTTATATGGCTCAACTGAACACGTGTGTTAGTGTTGCTACGACCATTTACATTTTCTTCTCCACTAGCTTATGCTACTTTTTTGTTAAAAGAGAATGGCTTTTTATTAGTTCGCAAACCTGGGGTCAAACCCAGTTCTACCTTCGATAGCTCAGCAATCTAAGGCCAGTTCCATGACCTGCCCAAGACTCAGCTTCTTCATCTGTTAACGGAGTATAGCAATAAGGTTTCCTGACACAATTGTTGAAAGGATTATAGGAAAATATCTGTGTGGTTCCTCACTAATAAACAGTAGCTTCTGTGGACTGAATGTTTGTGTCTCCTCAGGATCCATACTTTGAAGCCCTCCCTACAGTGTGGTGATGTTAGGAGGTGGGGCCTTAGAGAGGTGACTGGGCCATGAGGGTGGGGCCCTCGTGAAAGGGGTCAGTGCCCTTGCAAGAGACCAGCTGTGAGGACACGGTGAGAAGGCAGCCGTCTGCAAATTGGGAAGAAAGCGCTCATCAGACACCAACCACGCTGCCACCCTAGTCTTGGACTTCCCGCCTCCACAACAGTGAGAAGTAAATTTCTGTGGTTTAAGCCCCCAGTCGACGGTATTTTGTTAAAATGGCCTGAACTCACTAGGACAGTAGGAGAGAAGGGTTGGAAGGTACGGACATTTGTTCATCCCTATGCTCCTCTCCATTACCTAGCTGGAATAAATGTTCATTGAATTCACTGAATGATGTTAAATTCTTTCTCATCACGACCTGGAGCTCCCACCATTTTCATCTTCCACCCCTCCTCCCTTCACGTTAGCTTCACTGGTCTGCTCACACGGCCTGGCCCTGTGATCAGAGCCATGCACTTGCCACCAGCCCCACATCCCTGCCCACCCTGCCTCGCATATCATGGGCACCATCCACCCCAGCTGTGCTCTCCACCCCTTCGGGTCCACACTCAGCACACCCTTCACACTTCCCTTGACCCTCTGTCCTCTTCTCCAAATGTGCATTAAACCTCTTCTTTCTCTGAGTTCTCACACAGCATCACCCCATTATTCTAATCACAGAACTCTCAATGAACACCTTCCTCCTTACCACAAAATCCTCAGTCTCTACCTAGAGAAGGAGATGCACAACCCACCCTCTCCGTGCTTCAGGTCCCCTCACTCACTCTGAACCCTCCTCCCTCCCTCCCCTCCCTCTCTCCTTTGTTCTGCCTATAAATATCTTCAGTAGAATTCTACTCCACAATTACAACTAAAAGTCACCTTTCTTTCCTTCTAAAACCATTCGGGCTGGCTTTGAACAAGATCACCTACTTTCACAGCCTTTTAATATCATCTCTATAGGATAACTTCTCACTGAACACCTCTGGTTCCCCATCTTCTACCAGGACCAACCTGTGGACACTTCAAATTCCTCATGCCCAAATGGAACTTATCTACTCCCACAAACCTAGGTCCCCCTCTGGAATTCCTATGTCATTTATCAATCCCATTATTGAAACAGTGAAATCTGAGTGGCACCTCTGAATTCTCTCTAGAACATTCATTGACACGTAATCCGCTCCTCTGTTTTAGATGAGTGTCTCTCAAATCTATGTTCTCTTTTCCATACTCGGTCCATACATCACAAAACCTTGTAACTTTCTCCAATCCACTCTTTCTAGATCAGTACCTGGCACTTTAGCAGGTGCTAAAGAAATGTTGAATAAATTAATGAATAAATCTCTGTGATTAATGTTATTGAAGTATAGTTCTCAATCTGTCTTTTCCCTGCTCTAAAATCTTTACTGGCCCCCTATTTCCTATCAGGTTCACACCACACAAATTATTCAAGGAAATTCCATAGTCGGCCTCCACTCCAGTTTATGTCTTCTGTGACTCTGATATATCAACATCCTCCCCCTTTTCAAGCTGAAACAACATTCACAGGTATCTGAATGTGTCTTTGCTTGTGCTTTCCAGCCTCTCTCACCTGTGAACTGTTAAAATCCTCTTACCCGGTCTTCAGGACTCAGACAGAGTATCACTTTGTCCATAAAGTCTTCTCTGATCTCTTCCAGAGAGGTAAGGCTCATGCCCTCACTTCCTTCAGATCCCTACGTGTCACCTTCTCTACAAGGCCTTCCTCGGCATTCCTTAAGAAAAAGCACCTCCCACCACTCACACAACATTCCCTATCCCTGTGGCCCTGCTTTATTCTTCTCCATGCCACTGATCACAACATCAGGCACATGATTTGGTTTTTACAGGTCTGCACCCCACTCGAATGTAGGTTCCATGAAGACTCAAGAGTATATACACCTCCAATATCAAGAATAGTGCTTTGCACGTCTGAGGCTCTCTAACGTGCTGAGAAGAACAAGGAAAATCAGTGCCTTCTCCTAAAACCTGGAGCTTATGCCTTTTTGTTTGGACCAGCTCCAGATCCTCAAAACTGCCCTCTCTCTACGCTGTATTCTAGAGGATTGGGGAATTTCTTCTGGTCTCTTCCTGCCATGTATCTCTGCCCTGACTTGCTTATTAGCTTCTGATTCCAGATCCTAAGCGTCCTATTTGCTTAGCATCTCCGGATTGGTGCAAGTTAAAATATCTGCTACAAAAAAAAAAAAAAAAAAAATCTGCTACAATATTCGTAATACTGAGATGTGGCCTCTCATGCTGCTTCTTTTTTTTTTTTTTTAAGATTTTTTTTTTTTAATTTATTTATCTGAGAGAGAGAATGGGAGACAGAGAGCATGAGACGGGGAGGATCAGAGGGAGAAGCAGACTCCCCACCGAGCAGGGAGCCCGATGCGGGACTCCATCCTGGGACTCCAGGATCATGACCTGAGCCGAAGGCAGTCGCTTAACCAACTGAGCCACCCAGGCGCCCAAATAAATAAAATCTTATTTTTTTTTAATTTTTTTTTTTAAGATTTTATTTATTTGAGAGAGAGAGTGAGATAGAGAGAGAGAGCATGAGAGGGGGGAGGGTCAGAGGGAGAAGCAGACTCCCCGCCGAGCAGGGAGCCCGATGCAGGACTCGATCCCGGGACTCCAGGATCATGACCTGAGCCGAAGGCAGTCGCTTAACCAACTGAGCCACCCAGGCGCCCTATTTTTTTTTTATTTTTTAAAGATTTTTTATTTATTTATCTGAGAGAGAGAATGGGAGACCGAGAGCATGAGAGGGGGAGGGTCAGAGGGAGAAGCAGGCTCCCCACCGAGCAGGGAGCCCGATGCGGGACTCGATCCAGGGACTCCAGGATCATGACCTGAGCCGAAGGCAGTTGCCCAACCGACTGAGCCACCCAGGCGCCCCTCATGCTGCTTCTTTAGCTACATTTACCAAAATCCTCTGGGGACATATTCCACTCTGCCCAGGTTTCTGGGATACCAGATTCCAGCTAAAGTGCACAGTTGCAAACCCCCGTTTGTCTGAAACAAAAATTGAGATATCCTCTTCAGGCACTTAGAACTCAAGTCAGAAGACAACGTAACCGCCTCTCTTAGCCTCCATACGAATCTCACCTCTTCCTGAAGCCACCAATATTTCCTTATTTTTAATCCTTTTGCACCCAGCAAACACGGAAACTGCATTTAGGAGTCCTGGCCTAACCAGTTCTTACCCTCCCCCCCACCCCGTACGAACATTTTCCATCGTTTCCTTCCCATGGACATCGATCTACTTTCACCATCAGTTACTTGACCCGACCTGGTTCTGATAAGGAAATGAACTCCAATCCAGTGTGTACAGACTGCTTTTTCCAAAGATGGCCACAAGAACGTTTTCCATCTCTCATATGCTCCTAGAACCTCGCTCTTTCTACATCAAGAGGTGAGTCTCTAGTCTCTCCCTGGTTGGATCTCTGTAATGGTCTCAAGCCATCAAACAATGGCAATGAAACACTGGGACTTCCAAGCCTAGATTAGAAAAATGCCATGGACTTCTGCCTTGTGCTCATGGGATGCTTGCTCTTGGAACCGAGCTGCCATGCCATGTTTCTGGACAAGATACTACAAAGTCTGCCATTAATAACCATAAAGCTGTACTGATTTCCCCACAGTTAGATTTGTCTGGTTCCTTGCCTCTTTGGAATCATGTTCAGGTAATGCCAAATTTCAGATTCTTTGTTGGAACCTTCTAGCAACTGGCTTTCAAATCCAAGAAAAAATCTAATCTTCTGTGACAACAGATGTGTGTAGAGAAGTTAACAAGGTTTGAATTTGTTTCATCACACAGAAAAAGAAGGCTAAGCAAGTACTCCCTTTGGGTATGTTTCATGCCGATCACCTTAAGTGGTCACAAGTGAACTTCTAGATTTAAAAAATGTCCCCATGATCCTATTCAAACAGATCCATATAATCTAAGGATTCCATCCACTGGTACTGGATTTGTTAGCTTTGAGTGTGGACCTGGCTGAATGCATGCCTTACATTACCTATAACAGCGGGCTCCAGATCCATGAAGAGTGCTCTGGGCACGTGCTTCCCAGCTCTCGTCTCACAAAAGAAGGTATTGAAAGATGCATCCATATGCTCCATGTTCTCACTTTCCAGTTGATCCTTTCTACTGTTGAGAACAACGCCATCTGGCTGGATTCCATGTTCCAGGCAATAGAGTTCCCAGCAAGCATCCCCAATCTGGATACCAGCTTGGCCAATGTGGATGGAAAGGCACTCCCTCTGAAATAAGCCGGAGGAAGTTAGAACTAATAGCCTTTCTAGATAACGGGAGCTTGGTCACTCAGTAATGCTGCTCACAGTCAATAGAAACCAAGCTCGCATATGCCAACAAGAGAAATGTATGATAAGGCTAATTGAAAGTGTCTCATGGAAACCAAAACCCAGGGCACAGGTACGCAAAGGACTCCCATTTTACTGAAAGATTTCTTTCAACAACATAATTTAAGGATATTTTTTGTGTAACGGGTTAAGTGTGAGTTAAAAATATATATACATAATATACTATATATGTATAAAATCAAGCTGCCTCACCCAGAAAAATATTAGCTAGTTACCAGAAAGGAATAAAATCAAAAATCAATGTATAACCTTGACATATATTAAAACCATTGCAATTAAAGATGTTATTTTCATATCTTGAGATTTTATATTTACTATTCATATGTGCTCTAAAGAAGGAAGGATGTTCTAAGCATAAAAGTAATGGAAAATTTACCAAGGGAACATGTAATAGATTTCACAACCCAAAAATGTAAAAACTCAATATTGTAATAAAGAAGAATAATGATGTATACAAAAAATGACTTATATATAGTCCTTCATAGTAAGGGCTATCAATAAGGCAATTTTATATACATTTTAATTAAAAAAAAAAAAACTTGAGGGGCGCCAGGCTGGCTCAGTCAGCAGAGCATGTGATGCTTGATCTCAGGGTTGTAAGTTCAAGCCCCACGTTGGGTGAAGAAATTATTTAAAAATAAAATCTTTAAAAACCCAACCAAACACTTGAGATAACTAGTATATAAGTAGGCAGATGACATACACAGATGGATTATTTTTAAAAATCTAAAAATGCAAAGATTTAGGCACAAGGGCATTCACAGTATTATTATTTATAAGAGTGAGGATCAAGAACCAATCTACATTTGCTTTTGTTGGGCATTTGAAGAAAGAGTTATGCAACCCTTAAAAGTTTACCCCCAAAATTTTATGACATGGGAAAAGCTTATGATAAAAATGAAGTAAAAGTTATGCAAGTCGCATAATTGTATATAAAGTATGATATCAAATACATTAAAAAATAAGCAGAGAAAAAGATCTATAAATGCATCAAATATGGGGGCGCCTGGGTGTCTGCCTTCGGCTCAGGTCATGATCCCAGGGTCCTGGGATCGAGCCCCATGTTGGACTCCCTGTTCAGCGGGGAGTCTGCTTCTCCCTCTCCCACTCCCCCTGCTTGTATTCCCTCTCTCGCTGTCTCTCTCTCTCTCTGTCAAATAATAAATAAATAAAATCTTTAAAATAAAATAAAATAAAATGCATCAAATATTAACTGTCATTATATCTGGGCAGTGGTTTTTTTCCTTGTTTAAACTCTACTGTTTTCCATCACCCTCATCAGCCTCCACTCTCCCATCCCACGTTTAAATCACCATTCACATCTTTCTTTTTAAAGGCCAACAACCATTTTGGTCTTTTAAACAGACATGAATATGTACTCATCTAAGAGAAGGAAAGAAAAAGTTAGATCCTAAAAAACCACAAGGGCAGCAATCGTGCATCTGAATGTTGTTGGGTTCTGGTTGCCAGTGGGCATGGGACGGGTCTGGGTGGGGGGCTCGTGGGGTGAGCAGCCTGTTCTCCACATCATCGGGGCCCCGCCAGCTGTTCACCTACTGAGCTGATCGGCAGCCCTGTCCTTGTCCAGGCTGTTCTTCCCCTAGACAAGGTCTGAGATTCAACCACGAAAAGACCACTAGTCCAGGGAGGGAGGGAGCTCTGGGCGGTCACAGCCCTGCAATCCGACTTGGACTCTGTTCCAGCTCCGCCGCATCAAGCCCTCATACTTTGTCTCCTTGATTCACAAGGCTTAACACAGCCCTCTCTGCTTTATGAGGAATTCAAGCTCACTACTTGAGTAGAACTTGCCCCTTGTTTCTTCTCCATGCATTTCCGGGTCTCTCATGACAAAGGCTGTGAGCTCAATTCAGAAAGCACCTCACTCAGCACCAACCCGGATTCCAACCTCTGACCGGCACATAAAAAAAATCAAACAGCATGCACCATCATGAACAAGCTTCTAACATGCTTGTCTGCAAAGCTCGGCTTCATTCCTCCCACATCTGCTGGACTGCAAATGATCTCAGTGCGTTAGCTACTGTAATCAGATCCAAACTCCCTAGATTTAGGTAAAAATGCTGGACGGGAGGTGCATTTCATGGTTTCCCCATCATTGGACCCACTTACATGTCGATTTCTCTCACAGCACCCCCCAACTTACCGCCCAGGCCACGGGGGGTGCACATGCATTTGCTCCAAGTACTCACAGAAAAAATAATCACCAATGTGGAAAAGCAATTGCTGCTCTTCACGAGGTCTATTACCCAAGGGGCACAGATGTTCAGACATGGTCATGATACTACCCTTGTGAACCTGGCAGGAATACCTGGCCCAAGAAGGACCAATCATACCTTTCCTGGTTTGAGAAGCAGCTGAGTTTATGACGTAACTGTGTTCCAGGGCACAGAAGGCTATCTTCACCTTCTTCTCTTAGCCATTCCCTCCTTTCCAAACTGTCTGTTAAACATTAGTCACGCTGTCAGATTGTAAACTGCCCATTCAATATCAATATTATCAATCACATCACGTTAGCTGCTACAATGCCTATCTGAATTACTAGGAAGGCACAATTTTCTAATTAACTTTTTATTTTGAGATAAAGATAAGTAATAGATTGATAGGCAGTTGTAAGAAAGAATAAAGATCTCATGTGCCCCGTACCCATTTTCCCCAGCGTTAGTATCTTGCAAGATGATACAGAACAATATCACCCCCAAAATACCAAAATTTAGTCAAGCTACAGAACGTTTCCGTGACCACAAGAATCCCTCATGCAGGAAGGCATAATGTTTAAGAGCAAAACAACTTCAACATCCTTAAAATGTTGGAGAGAGAGAGAGTCCAAGGGGGTGAGAACATCGAAGATGAGAAATCAGAATGAAAAGCTGCTTCCATTAAGAATTTAAAATTCTAAGATACCAAAAACTACTGGGACTAGCACATAAGACATTAAAGGGAAAGTGGATCTTAAGAGATGATCCCCCAACAGGAATTACTGTAAGTAACTATGTTCATTGTTGTCCCCCAAGAACGAAACTCGAGAGAGGACGAGAAGATGTCCGTGAACTTTACCCTGCCATGCATTTATGAGCTTAGCAATGATGACCTGGGTCTGAAGTCCCCAGAAACTCTAAAAGCATAACTAAAAGTGAAACAACTGATTTCTACAAAAAAATCAGCACAGCAGGTTTAAAACAAACATAGAACTAAAGGAAGGAGGGGTTCTCGTTTCAACACTTCAGTTAAAAGCAGTATTTAACATGCACATCCACTAAGCTTTTCCTAAAAGCAGCAAAACCACAGATGAACAGACGAGAGCTTATCCAAATCTGCCTCAAACACAGTTACTGGAAGAAGCAAATGCCTCCTTAAAAATTTCTTCTCTTGTATTACGAATGTATTAAGGATAGTTTGGCAGGGAAGAGGGCCAAGTATGACGAGTAAGATTTGCTACAACACCGCGGCAACACTGATAAGCGCGTACGAGGACCCTAGCCACTTACCATGCTGATCTGGAGGTACCCCCGCTGGGCTGCAGCAATGACGAGCCCACGCCCAGGCAGACTTTATCACAGGGCAGGAAATGACTCCACCTGAGGGCTGCGACACCTGCTTCACTTAAAGCAGTACAGCCCCTTCTTGGTTTTTCTGTTCTCTTCCCCAGAGCGGCCGTGCGGGACCTGAACAGCCCGAGATACTCTGTGCACAACTACAGGTGGTATCCTTAGAGCTTACCCAAATCTACTTCCAACTTAAACCTGTTTTGGTTAAAAATGACAGTTGTCTTCTTAAAAAGATCCTCCTCCTGGATTAAGAATGTATTAAGCATGAATGGGGAAAGAGTAGGAGTAAAATTTGCTGCAACAGCAAACAGCTTTTTCTAGCACATAAGTACTACAAACAGCTTTTTCTAGTACATAAGTATCTTTAAGTAAGATTCAAACAATCCCTGGGGACATAGAGCAAACCAACAAAGTATCCTTTTTACCTCCCATCTCCTACTCATGCGCTTTGACCGTGACCACCACGACTTCCAAATGTATGAGGATTTTCTACATTTCGGTTATTACTAATTTTATTATTTGTTCTATTCTAAATTGTGATATTATTATTTATAACATACACCTATACCGTTATTTTTAATTATTTGAGTTAAGATCAGAGAACATACTCTAAATGATTTCTCTCTTTATATATGTGTCAAGACAACCCTGATGTTCTGCTATATGGCCAATTTTTTAAAATGTTCTGTGAATGCTTGAAAAGAATGTATTCTGTAGTTTGTTGGATGCAATGTTTTATATACACATTTCAAACTGATTGTGTAGTCTAAATGTTCAGTACTGATTCCTTTTAAAGATGTGTTAAATTTTTTCCATTATGATTGTTGATTGTTTCTCTTTCTGACAATTTTTGCTTTATATATTTTGAGGCTATGTTATTAAGAACATGTAAATTTTAAATTGTTAGATTTTCTATGGAATTGAAACATTCTATCACTTTATTTTTTTTTAAAGATTTTATTTATTTGAGAGAGAGAGGGAGAACATGAGGAGGGGGACGGTCAGAGAGAGGGGGAGAAGCAGGCTCCCCACTGAGTAGGAAGCCTGACATGGGACTCGATCATGATCATGAGCCAAAGGCAGTAGCAAGCCTGACATGGGACATCAGATCATGACCTGAGCCAAAGGCAGATGCTTAACCAACTGAGCCACTCAGGTGCCCCCACATTCTATCATTTTAAAATGACTATACCTACGAATGATTTTGCTTTAAACTCTTTATTATTGAATAGTAATATTATTACTTTAATATAGTTTTCTTGGTTAGTGTCTGAATGATGTCTTCTCTGTCATTTTACATTCTTAGAATTTAAAAAC